GGCAGGGCTCCCTCCACTGTTCTTAAATAAAGGCTCTCACTGTCTGAGATCCAACCCTCCCTGGTTTTCACAGTACCATTGTAAGGCTGCATGAAGATAATTATTTAATGGCAAGGAGTTTTGCATATGATTCTCCTGTCATAAACCTGCTCAAGTCATATGGTTCGATTTACATTTATGCAAATGTCAGAGAACAGAGTAAAATTGCCAGAGGCGGAAAGGACCATGGCATGTCCCAAACAAGATGTGCCTATTTGCATTTATGTTTGCTAATGAAGTTCAGCCAGGGCTTGCTCTTTGATTTGGATGTCTCTGTCTGCTGTTCCACTTTATGCACTGCAATTAAAGCACTTGCCCACACACATACAGGAGGACACCAAGAAAGGGAGACTCCAAGTTTTATATATGCTGTTCTGTAACTCGCTTACATAGGACCTATAATTCAGGATTTAACATCTCTAAGTGATAAAACAGACCTGCAGTGTGACACTGTGCTTCAATATAGGCAGAACTGCAGACTTAAACCAATAGAGGATTTGGCCCAATAAACTTCAGTGTCTCGGGTGCCCGCTGGAGGTGTTTTACCCCAGACTTTCCAAATTTTATCCCAAATAAAAATTAAGCATCAGCCCACTCAAAAATCACAGCTGTTTTTTTCTCTTGCCAAAATTATTCTTTTCCATCATGCTACAGCTGCGAAATTATGCACTAGTGTAAATTGTTAACTGAAAACCGTTTCTAGCTGAGGTGCCCATTCAGAAGTCTTAGTTTTCTAATTTAATCTGTTACCTCACTGAGGAGTACTCACACATCTTGTGTTTTGTCTGGGATTGTTTCTGTAAATCATTGATTCACAGAATGGTTTGGGTTGGAAGGGGCCTTAGAGATAGCCATGGGCAGGGACACCTTCCACTAGACCAGGTTACTCCAAGCCCTGTCCAACCTGGCCTTGAACACTTCCATGGATGGGGCAACCACAGTTTCTCTGGGCAATCTGTGCCAGGGCCTCACCACCCTCACAGCCAAGAATTTCTTCCTAATATCCAGTCTAAACCTACTCTCTTTCAGTTGAAAACCATTCCCTCTAGTCCTAAATCACATTATATCTTGTCTTATGAACTCTTCAGTTCACAGGGTCATGTTCAAAAGGGTCGTGTTTCATTTCATGGGACCTACTGTGAGGACAGGAGTTTTGCTGTCATCTTCATGCAGTGGTTCTTTGTGGGCCTTCATAATAACAATGCCTTGGGCTATTGCTATGTGAGAGAAATGGGACCAAACAAAAGAGAGTAGAAACAGGATGATTTTTCATGAAATTTGAGGAGTTCCTTAACCAAGGCCTCTTGTACCACATTGGCTTTTTAAGTTGTTAGTTTCCCCTCCTTTCATCAAATGAAGGGCAAACCACGATCTTGCTTCTAGGTGACTGACAGCAGTGAACACTGCTCATCTTTTCTGCTTCATTGTACCTCCTTTCAGATTGTTGAAAAAACCTCTGCCCTCATTTATTAAATAACGATAGCATTCCCAGAGAGGATCTTATATCAGAGTGCAATGTGATTTGATAACTTGAAGGAGCAACCTTTTCAAGGCAGAATTCCTACACAGAAAGTGCCTGAGAAGCTGTGAGAAGGTTCTTCAGAACATCCATAGGTGGGATAGAATCACAGAATGGCTAGGGTTAAAAGGGACCTTAGAGATCTAGTTTCAACCCCCCTGCCATGGGCAGGGATGCCACCCACTGGATCAGGGTAGAACTGGGAAGTAGAGGACTAAGCAGCAAAATCATCACACCTCTCAAGTAGGAGCCAGTGGTAAGAGTGGCCTGAACAAGATGAAAATTTGTTTATTCTTTCACTTTGGCCCAGCCTGTGTAGTCTCTGGTTTTGGATGGCAGCAATCTGTCATTTCACCTTCAACGAGGTGGGGAGACAAAATCTTGTCATATGATAGCAAGGAGTAAGAAGTTTCTGTGAGAGTTAGATTGGCCAAATAAGGTTATATCAGCTTTTCAGAGCAGGAAAACCACTCTGGGAAGGTGAACTGTGTAATTTGTGCCAAGCTCAGTGATTCCCCATTTCTAAAAGGTGGTCCTTTGACCACCAGCACAAAGGACAGGTACAGTAAGAGGCTGATGGACCTTCATCCATGGCAGAGACTCAGCCCACAGCAGGACAAATCAAAGCACATGCTGGTAGACAGTAAATTTTAAGAGAACACACAAAAAATTTGGATGCACTAGACACTTTTCTAAAAGGAGCTCCAGAAGGGATCATGGGCTTATGTTACCTCTTGACATTGGGCTACATCAAGACATATCCAGCAAAATGAGTACAGCTATTTTAATTCCACATCAAGAGTCTACGTCATCCTCTATCTGTAATTCTGAGCCAAATAATCATATTTAAAAAATAAATAAATAAAAATTGGGTAGTGACAAAGTGGCATAAAGCACCCAGAAGTGTCATCCAAACCCTCTGTGTTATCTCCAACCACATTAAATGTCTGCCACATACATCCAGACTCTCTTACAAGGGCACATACACATGCAAGTTTTATAAAAAACCTCTTGCTGTTTCTTCTCTTCACAAGTCTTGGCATGTAAAGATCTGTCTTTCAGTATCACAAATTCGGCTGTATAAATCTCAAAGATATCTGGTATAACTCAGAATGATGGGATGACTGTAAAATAGTTTCACTGTGCATAAAAGCATTTCAGAGGTTAACCTTTATTATCTAGTAATGTATCAAAATGAGATGCAGTGTTATCTTGTTATGGAATGGGATGAACCAAACTCCCTCCTCTGAAATACTGATTTTCAAAACAGTTGCCTTTAAGCTGAGGTTGAAGGCAAGGATGGTTTCTGGGTAAAATTGTTCAATTTATGGCTAAATTCCGTAATAAAATATGCATATATCAAAATCACTTTCTCTGGCACGGGAAGGAAGATTGTTTTGTTTTCATTATTGCTAAACTTCAAAATGGCTTCAGGAATTTAGTTGTTCTTTCCAGAGAAAGTGAACTTCAGGCAGAGATTAAAGCAGAGGAAACTTCAGCCCAAGGGCAAATGTTTCAGAAAGTTTAAAGTATGTGAAACGAGGAGTGAAGTAGGAAATAGTTTTCAATCCTAACTATAGCCACACTGGTTATAATATATCGCTAAATATAGACCTGTGGGTGTGTCCAACTCTCCAAAGGTGTTCTTCTCCCTCTGCTGAAACTGGCATCTGGAATGACCTTTGCAGGGATACAACTGCCTGTGTAACACTGCCTGTGTTGGAAAATGTTAAACTTCATTATTTCCCAGGTGAGCCCAGCCAAGCCCAACTTTGCTTTGCAACCAAAATTCCTTCTGGAAAATTCAGCCCTTTATCTTTCATGTAGATCCAGCTTTACACTTGGGATCATTTAACTTCGAGCAAACCGTACAATAGCCCTGAATATTTTGTTTATGTGCTGAAGGTTGTCACTCAGGTTATAAAGCTCTGTAAAAATATCAGGGTCAAGGAGCTAAAAACATTACTTTTGCATCGACTTCCAAATGCCAGCCATAATGGTTTGGGCAAGCTGCACATCCAAACTGCCTTGGACTTGCTACTTGTGGTTGTGGGAATATATTGGATCCTTTCAAAGTTATTGGCTAGTCTGTTTTGGGCATTTCATGTTTGAGTATAGAGCCTTTGGGTTTATTTTGTGTTTTGTTTGTGGTGATACTGTCATGTCTGATGCCTGGCTGTATATCCCAGAGTTAATATTCTGCTCTTTGATTTTAAGGCCATGTGCTGCTGGATCTCTATACTGGAGTGTGGTGTTAATGTAGAGGATGCTGTAATGAACATCTTGTACATATTTCCTTTTGCATATTCACTGTCTGTAAAATGTCTGTCTGAATACATCCTTGCTGGTTTTGAAATGATTTCCTTACCGTTCAGTACAAATACTATTTATATCCAAAGTTGTTTGAGGTTATCCTTTACTCCTAATGTTACTCTAATTCTAGTTTAAGAGGGGAAAAATTGATCTGGCTGAAATTAATTAGGAAATTGGTAGAGCCACTAAAAATGGTGGTTATATATGGCACTTCCTAAGTGCTTGGGCTGAAGAGGTACAAAATAAATCTGACGAAGCACTAATGTAATGAAATAGATGACCGTATTTTCATTTTTAAAACTAGATGACTGCTGAAGGTGAACCAAATAAAGCAAAAGTATTTAAACTCCTCTGCTTTTTTAAAGATACCATTAATATTTAAAAAAAGGCATTTTTAAACTGAGAATATCCCCTCAAAATATAGGGTTTCCAGTGTGCCTGGCATAAAAAGGCATAGTTTCCTATATTGATTCAGAAAGAGCTGTTAAAAATGCATGAAAAGTATTTTAGGGAGACAGTGTCACAAGATCTTTTAAAATTATTTTCTCAAGAGCTTCTTTACCATTGGAAACACTTGAGCCCAAGTTACAGTATATGGGATATCAAATTATTTCACACTGACCAGAGGGTCTTTAAGATTAATTTGGGTTTGGAGTGGTGGGGATTATACCAGTGTCTGTTTACAGAACTTCAGACTCAGACTATAAATTAAGTTTGGAAAACTGTAATTATTCAATAATTTATAGACTATTCAGATAAGTTAGAAATTATTCTTGAACGTGGTGAATAGAGAACACGTACCTATGAAGGACAAACAGATTCAGCAGAATGGTGTATTTTTGGCCTCATCTATTTTGCAGGCAATTAGCAAAATAGGAATGTTACATTTTTGCCTATCTCTCGCTCTCCTGAAATAGAGTCACTAACCACTTGTTAACCACATTGATTTTTTAATAGACAAAGTGGTTGCTTATAGCTTCCCCACCAGAAATGTTCAGATTAAGCACATTATTAGATTGCAGCTAGAATAGCCTACAAAACAGGAAGAAAGCCTTGCCTTTCTCTGTGCCTCCTTGCCTTGTTTAAGCTGATGTGATAATTCATTACAGATTTTCTCTCTCCCTGACAGAGTGCCTACCGCAGGAGTGGGATGACTTTTCTCGCCTGCTGATGTGGATGTGGCTGCAGCAACAGGAAAGACAGTGTTATATTAAGGTGATTTTCTTTTCCCCTCCATGGAAGGAAAAAAAATACAAGCTCCAATGTCTCCATGTACCAGTGAGTGGGCTGGTTTGTTGTGACTATCTGCTGGCTGTCTCTGTCTCTCTTTCCAGCCCCCTCAGTCGTTATTCTTGTTTACTAGCTGGAACATTTAGCTAATTAATGGCAGGATGTTTGGGATAGGGTGTAGGTGGACAAGAATGCAGCTCAGACAATGCTGGAGTTTGCAGGGGACTTGCTGCTGTCAGCCTCTTTCTGACTGCCATGTCATTTTTATTTAAGTGTTTGGAAGTCTGTGTGTTCTCCAAAAGATGTTTTTTTCTAAAGCAGGATGGGGCAGGAAGAGGCCAGAGATAGACTGGGTTGTGTTGGTTTATATAGGTTATATTAAGGTTACATAGTTTTCCTCGTGATTTTTACAAAAATAAAAATTATTTCCTTCTATTTTCCACTAAGTCGTTTCTCTCATTGATTTAAGTGTTCAGACAGTATAACCCAGTTTAATCCAGTGAGGGGATTTTGATGACAGTAATAGCAAGTTTGGACCCAAAGATATTCGGAAAAAAGTTCAAGTAAACTGAACTTAACCAGTGAGAGACTTGACTTCTTGCAGACCCAAGGATAGGCTGAGTGGTCACCCCCAGATTCTCAATGTTGGCATCTCCTAAGGCTCGAGTTATTACTCTCTGAAATCTAAAAAGGCCTTTGCAGTGATGTGGCACTGGATTGGGCCCCTATTCAGAAAAATACATCCTAAAATATTTAAATAACTGTCTGTCTCAGTGGTTGTAGGCAAAGGCTTAACATTATGTACTTGCTCAGCGTTTGCTGCAGGAAGCAGATGTTGTCCCTGTTGTTGACAAAGGCAGCATTACTGTTGGATTTGGTTAAAGAAGAAACCAAGCTCTTTTTGCCTTTTTTTTTTTAAACATATTTTAGGTAACGTTGTTTGTTTTCAAGATTTGTTTTTTAAATCTCAGTCCCTCCCTCTATGCTTCTTCCCGTCCCCTGCTCCTCCAGCCTTTGCTGGCCTCACAAACACATTCATTTCTTCCCATAAAACTGTACAAATATAGAGCTGACCACGATGATGCTTGACCAGAGAAAAGCGCTCATGCTTCAACTCATCACCAGGATCTACAGGCACGTCCTGCTGGTTTCCCTGTGCTACCCATGGGCCAGGGTCTGCTTCAGCCAGGCTTGGAATCCAGCTTAAACCTCAAATTAATACAGAACACTCAAGGGATCAACAGGAGATCAGCAAAATATTAGTTTTATATAGTGGAGCCGTCCTCCTCCTTTGTGCTTAGTGTGTGAGGTCTTAATTTTTACTCCTGCTCTACTCTCTTGTGGTCATTCGTAGGTGGTTCTGTTGTCCTTCTCTCCTGGACCTGCTCGCAAAAACTTTAAATATATGTATATTTTTTAAATAAACAGCAAAATGTCTCTTTGCAACCAAAATATTGTAAAAGTGAACTTTGTGCATCGAATATTACTGACGTTCATAAATTGCTTTTTCTTTTGCCTACTTTTTGCTTCTGTTTTCTGGAAATTATCTGTGTGTAAAGGACTGAAAGTAACGTGTACAACACTGTGTATTAAACGAGGGGAGGGGGAAGTTTTCTGATGTTCCATCTGTGCTTCTTGAAATGTATGATTAAACTTTTCTTTTTATCATCACTCTTTATTTTTGTTGGCATCCTTAATGATGGAAAATTATATGCTTGCTGTAAACATCCAGACTTTTTTAAAAGGACACCAACATTTATTGTATTTGGTTTTGATCTGCAGGGATAGAGACAGAAGAAACCATTTCAGGCACTGGGTACTGGAATCAAAATTCCTTCTGTAGCTGTATCTCTCCCAGATTTTACATTTTAAAATATGCATAAGCAGGAAAAATACTGGCACTTATTTTTTACTGGTCTACTTAAAGTCCCAGAGAATGAAGACTCAACATACATTTCTCTCAGAAATATGACAGATCATGTTTGTGTTGGTCTGCTGTGTGTTTGTCTATCTTGAACAGCCTGACAGGCAATTATTTATAAAATCTGTGTTTGCCCAGTAAACCCATATAATAACCTTTCACTTCTCTGCACAAGTCAGGGAGCTGAATTTAGAGTCAAACAAAGTAGGTTGTGTCTCCCTATCTTGAACTAACCCAGTTTATTCTTATTTTGGGAAGTAATCACTTTTTTTTTTTTTCTCATCTTCAGAGTTTTCTTTTACTCTGTTTAAAACAAAAAAGCAGCCAGTAATACTCGTTCTGCATTTGGAGTGTGTCTTAGCACCAATTCCCATGCTGCAGAAACAGAGATGTGTGTTTGAGCTGGTGCTACGCATTTTTATTATATGTATAAAAATCGTTTTGAGATTCAGTTCATGGCTGCATATGAATAGCTTTATTCCTGTGTAATTTAAACTTGCAAAACATTTTGATTCTTAGCCCGGATTTACAGTGACTGGATCAGGTGATGTTGATTATTTCACATTATTACCTGAAGAAGGGAAACATCTATTTCAGTAGGAATAAGGGACTGTGAGTTTTGCTGTCACTTCAGTCTCTGCCCTTCTGTGTGGTTATACTACCTCAGTTTTCAGATTTTTAGTCCAGCCGTGTGCAAAACAGGGATAATAATTCAGCTTAAAACTTCTTAGAGGTGATGGAGCCACAACACAAATTGCTGGTTGGGCTTCATCTCATTTCTCAGGCTTTCCGGAGAGAATAAAACCCTTTAAAAGAGTTTTACTGTCCTCTGGAAATCGAGAGAAGCTGAGAGAGCTCTGTGTTTCTCCAGAGACACTCAGACCCTGCAGAATGTGCCCCCCTGGGTTTTCAGAGCACACTCCTTTTTGTCAAATGTCACCCTCCCTGAGGGGGGAGAATAAAAAGTGGGGTTTGGCATTTCTTGAGTGTAGATGAACCTTTGTGTTGTATTAAGGTTCTGCCATCAGCCATGTGTAGATCTCATAAAATGTTTTATAGCTTACCATCCAGCTCATACAGAATGTTTCACAGTACATAAACACTTCTAATAATTATTTAAGAATAAATAGATAGTGACATTAGTCACAAGTCTAACCTCTAGTTGAAACTTAAACAGTTACAGGGTTGAGGTTGTTTTTTTTTTGCCTGAGTGAATCATCTTGTCCAAGGTTGGGCTTTTTATACCTCTATTTTTTTATGCCTCTACTATATATCCACCCCAAGCAGCCAGGGAAAGGCAGTGGTGGCATGCATTAAATCCAGGGCTTTATTCAGAGGGCACAGAGCCAGTGCAAAGCAGCGGAGCCATCCCTGAAGGAATTGAATGTAAATTTGATGGTTTAAATAAGGCCAGATGCCTTAAAAATTATTTTGAAGGCTGTATCTTTAATGTAGCCCTTAACTTTTTTCTTTTCTACTTAAGATAATGATGTTGCCTTTACAAAATAATAAGAAAAAATAGCTCTCATCTCTTGTGGGGAGACAAAAATCAGATACTTTGGCTTCTATAAATCACTGAAATGTTGGCAACTGAAACAAAGTTTTAGAAGGCAGATGACTGCAAATTTGAAGGAAACCTTCATATTTTACTGTTAAAAGCCTTTTAACTGTCTAGAGAGTTCTCTGAGACACTACATTAATAGCCATTCTCAGTAATCAAGCTCCACTATACTTATATACTATTTTTCTTAAACAAGATAGATTAGTAGTGGAAGAGAGCTGGAAAGATAAATAAGGAAAATCAAGAACTAAAATTATAATAATACAGTTTCATTTTACATTTTATAGTTCTCTATTTGTGATTGATGATTCATCTTAACTCCTATCAGACAAATATTGGCACAAAAGTCTTATACCAATATCTGTATATTTCTGGACTTGTCTTCGTCCAGATGCTTTACAGATTTTCTTACTGGTTTTGTGAAGATGTGATCTGTCAATTTGATCCTTGTATGACTTTGATTACTGTAATATCTGAGTGTCTCACAGGTTTCCATGTGTTCCTGCCCACAGCACCACTTTAAAACAATAATAATGTGTTGTTATCTCTGTTTCTTCTGCAGAAAGACTAAATGATGGGAGACTAAATGACTCCATATTGTGAAACCTGGGGTGTTTCAGAAAACCTGGGTTTCCAAATCCATGCTGATGCCCTCAGTTCTGAATTGTTTTCCCTCTGCAGTGAAAGCAATAGGTGTGTCAGCACATAAACCAGCCTTGCAGGTTAGGAGAGAAAGGGGCAAAAGCAGCCTCCAACTGGATCCACGAGGGGGTTTGGGGGTGGAAGAATGCAACCACTCAATTTGGACCCAGTCCAGGGCTCAAAGCTTTAAACCCTTCCAGCTGAGATGTGCCACGGCCACTTAGTGACCCTGTGCAGAAACACAAATGATACGTCTCCACCAAAACATGGACTGTGGGGCACTCTGCCTCCTCCACACTCCGCTGGATTTCTGCATCAAAAATCACCACGAGGAACATATTCATTACTTTGGCACTGCCAGTGTGTTCCTACCCTCATCTCCCAAACTGCCTTTGCAGAGTGCCTCAGAGCTGCAAGAAACAAGAGGAGAAACACAATTAAGAAACATAAATGCCCTGATTTAACTGGGGCAGCAGCTGTGATGGGTGTTGACAAAGATAAAGTAAAATGTTAATTTTTCATAAATGAACTGGGTCTGAACATAATGAAGTGCTACTGAAGTGGTGGTGGCTGATCTTCAGCCTGGAACTAGACCTGGGAGACGAGAAGGTGTAAGATATCAGAAGCTGTAGCAGGATTCATAGTCAACAGCCAATAGAGCAAGTTGGCTCAAACCAGTTCTGTTTAGCTCTTATTTCCATAACTATTTAATTAATCTGCAAAACAAAACAAAAAAAAACCTCTGCAAAACTATTCCGTTTCTTGTACTGACATGATTTGCTCAGATCTGCAAATGAAATGGCAGCAACTGTGTGTCAAGCTGAGGTGAAAACAAATCTGAACCATGGCTGCAGAAGGAGAAGGAAGGTGTTCAGAGGAGAAAGGTTCCAGTCAAGCTTCTCCCCTGAGCTCCCTTGCTCAGATTATCCTGTGTCTGCTACTCACCAGTGACTAAATCTGCTGCTTGTGCACAAATTTTGTTGCAGCTTCAAGTAACTAATTTTATTAAATTAGACAGGATCTGTTTAGTGTTCTCCATGTCACCTTGTCCTTTCTTTAATATTAAAAGCATTTCTGTTCCTCTGTTTTGGAATGTTATCAACATAGTGCAGAGTTTTCACTGCTCAGCAGATTTTGGTGTAGACAGAACACAAATAAATGGAAGCAATTATTAAGGATTACTTTGAGCACCTGGAAAAGGGTCTTTGGCAGTCAGTTTCTCCATGGAAGGTGCTGCTCTTACTCGTCTTGTCTGGGATGGTAGCAAAACTGATACATGACTCCTGTAGAGCTTGAACTTTTACAGCAAGTTGAGGTGAACCTTGAAGTCTCCCTCAAACTCATGAGCATCCCACTGGTCTCCTCACTGTGTAAATCAGGCACAAGCCCAAGAGGAAAAACATGACAGATTCTTCCACTGGAAGATCAAGAACCACAACACTGAATACTCCAAGGTAAGACAGAATGAAATAATCTTGATCTGACTGGACTCAGCCTGATGTCACTTGAGAAAATATATTTATTTTTTCTTGTTTGACTGTTACATCGTGGTTATTTCCACTCTTTAGCGATCAGAACCGTGGCAGTGAAATAGTTAAGAATAGCGATTTCATATGAGGTCAGGTTTCAGAGCCAATACAGTGGTAAACAGCTCTCTATCCTCTGCAGTTGTTGGGTTTGACTGCTGAGTTAAAAACCTTTCACATTCTAAGGGCACATGTATTTTGGAACGAGGTCTGAGTTGATCACTTTTATTAACAGTACCCAAATAAATAGTTGTAGCCATTTAAGCTAGTCCACGTTGCTATGTTGATGTGTCCAGGAGAGAGAGAATTAATGTTGTCCCTGCAACAAAATCATACAAGAAATGGCCAGCGCTCCATCCGCACATGGGTTAATGGGAGCAGTGTGAAAATTATTCCACAAGGACTCTGGAGTTTAAGTATTCCTTAGTTGCTCAAATCCCTGCTAAACCCCTTTGGACAGGTGTCTGTGAAGCAGAGGACAATATCCTCGTGTCTGGGAATGGGGCTTATGTAGGAAATTAATGTTGCCTTGGGAATCGAGTGTGTACTGCTGTCAGTGAGAAGAAGAAAAGTCTTGACTGGACTGGGAGAGGAGGAGTGGCCACACTTACAGGTTACAGTCTTCCCAATGTTATGGTTGTGAAGATAAAATTTGGTACAAGCAGCCAAACATTTGAATTTTTGGCCAAGGTCCAAACCTTCCAGTTTTTGCCACGGTTGGTTTTTATAGGTGCTTTTTTACAGTGTTGAAGTTGGGCTCGTGGATGATGCCGGATTCATTTTTATTTTGTTGAGGCTTGTTTTATGTGCACTTTGGTATGTAGTTGTGGTGCACGGTCTGAAGGGATTTTGCATCTTAGTTGGTTTCTTTGGTGGTCCTGAAGGCAGTGCAAAATTAATGCAGCACTTAAAGAGCCTGTTATTAAAACTTTATTCATAGGTGAGCAGAAGAAGCATAGAAAATATATTAGTTTATATGCATATATATTAAATAAATCTGAATATATATATATTCATGTTTTTCAT